TTTGTTCAATAAAAAAAAAGGGCAATGTGATGTTCATGACGTAACCACGTCACCTGCAGATATAGACTCGCAAGACACGTGAGCAGGAAGTACGCAAACAGTAACGTGTAAGCGAGAGCCGGAGAATAAACGCCTGTGGATATGAATCAAACTGTGGTGTATAAACCCACACAACGCAAACACTACTGCTTTGTATATTTGATAAAACATCAATATAATACCTTAAATTCACATACTAATACAAACTCAGTAATCATGCTTTGTGTTTATATTTTGGTAGTTTTATTATTTGATTGCAGTTGTAATCCCCCCTCAGGTGTTACCCATTACTCTCACACGTGATATTTGCATCTAGAGTTTAGCTTTAGTCTGCGTAGCATCACAGCTCATGTGAGTCCTGAAGAACTCCTGGATCTTCTTCCACAGGTGGACCTCAGTTGCAGCGTGGGACCTGGCCTCGCCCCCCCACAGGACCGGCCTGCCCGCAACTGCATGCAAACTGGAGGGGCAGTAGGGTCCGTAAGGCGGCTCTAGATAGTGTCCCGCTCCGGGGTAACACACAATCTCAAAGTTGTCCTTCCCGTGACGCTGCAGTCGCTCCACCATCATGTCCACGTAAGCCTTGCTGTCCCAGTTGAGGTCGTCCTCTGCGGCCACGAAGAGGAGACGTCCCTCCGCCCGCTCCACAGGGATCAGCGTGGCCTCGTTCTCCTCTGCAAGAGGGTCGTTGAGAACCTTCTTGCCATTGAAGGCCTCCGACTCAGTGGGAATCAGCTTGCTGAGGTCAATCATTAACGCGGGGAGGATCTGGCTCTTCTTATAGTAGAGAGGAAGAAGCGTGTTGGCGGAGCAGCCGTTGATCCACACTACGGCCTCGACACCTTGCAGGTAAGAGGCCATCGACAGTGCCAGATCTCCGGTTTTTGAAATGGATATCACACCAACTCCTTTACCGCCAACCTGCAGGGGGAACAAAATGAATTACGCATTAGTTTTCCTGCAGATAGACATGAAGTATTCTCTAAGTCCTCCAAGGGTGGTTAGACAACCACACTCTGAAATGTGTCACCAAAAATCTCAAAAGACTTTGAGAACTCCCCTTATCTTGTTTTCTCAAAAACTGTATTGCTTCTTCGAAATAATCCAGATGGATCTCTTTCATCTTCTTGGGCAAGTCATCGTAACCGTACGCCACTACGGTCAGGACCACAAATCCTCGCGTGGCGAGCAGAGCGCCCCTCTTCTCAGAGAAACCTCCCCCTAAAATGTATAAATCCAGCACTGCAGGGAAAGGACCCACTCCTGGATCGGAAAAGACATGGGAGGATTCAGAGAACATGCTACATGCTAGCTGCCATGTGTGTTCTGTTTTTGTCACTTTCAATTAGAAAAAAGGTCAATTCATTGTATCTTTGATCTCTTGGGTGAAGATTTTTTATGCAACAAAAGGCCACCGACCTGGCGGAGTGAAGAGGACCCCACGAATATTCCCCTCTCTGACCGTGCGCCGGATCACCCCGTCTCCGATCAGCAGCCTCTCATTGGTCGCTTCTGCCAGCATCCTGTCCTCCTCGTCTCCCTCCTCCTCCTCCTCCTCGTGCACTGATATCTTCACCACGTGGGCGTTTAGAGACTTTGTTCTTTGGAACCTCTTGTGCAAAGCGTCCGGCCTCATGGACCAAAGCAGACCCATGGGTTCAACGCCGGTGTAGGTCCCACCGAGGGAGGGGTCCCTCTCCAGGTCGATCTGCCCGCTCCCATCAGCCCTGAAGGTGGCCGAGGAGCTGAACACCACTCCCTTCTCGTCAGTGGATCTGGCTCTCAGGGTGACCATCTGTCTCGACCTGAGACCGGCCACCTTCACCTGGACGGGCTCGTCGAACACGCATCTGGCTCTCGGCAGCAGACTCAGGCGGACTTGGGAGGACATCTTTCTGAAAATGCGGTGGTTTGTTCTTTGCAAATGTTCGCTGTAATTGTAACAGAGGAAATTCACTTGAATTTGAAACACTTTGACGAAGCAGATGAACACATCATGAATGTTTTTCTGTAAAACTTTCTCCTCGCCAATTCAGCACATTAAATAATGTTACCAGCTAACTGTTGCTCTTGGACATATATTTAGAGGTGAAGTACTGTTCCTACGCTGATAGTCAATAGATTGAACACATGGTTGGCTCTTAAGTAATCTTCTATTATGATCAAATCATAATAGGGATTTAAGCAGGTCAGTCAGGGATTTCAGATTCGACCACCAGATGGAGCCAGCAGAGAGTCATAAATACCTTGGAGCAGTTTTTGAAGGACAAACACAGGGGAAGGGCTGGTAGAATTCTTTTGGAACCGGCTTGATAAGTTTAGCTTTACACCTGGACCATGGGACTTCTCTATTTCACAAAATATTATACTATTCATACTGTTCTTAACTTTGTAATTGTATTGCTTCTGCTAGTTAAGAAAATCTTCTTTACTTTTTTTACTTTTTTTAAACAAGTTAGTTGACTCTGTTCTACTTCTCGTCTCAGAAGGGGCAACGGTAACAGTAGTGACCCTTGATCAGAGGTTCAGAACTCCAGAGAACCAAAGGATGTTTAAAGACTATTATTTAATTAACAGTGAATCTTCGTTTCTCAAAATTAGCCTGAAAGTTAACCGAGTAATTACATGAATATGTTGGTATTTTTTTCAAAAAAGTGGTCTAGTATTTTGGATTTGATGCAATTGGTGGCGAAGATGTTAAAGTAAGCATACAGGTATGCCCAGATGTGAACATCTGCAACCTGTAAGACAGGTGATTTTCCTTGATGACTGTCAATGCTTTCAGACATGAATTGACTCTCTGTATCTGCTTCACTCAAATACATTTTTCAATTCCCTACGACAGGAGAGGACTCGCTCACAGACGTGTAATAATTGGCTGTAATGACTTTAGCCTGTCCATAAAAACACAGACTCAAACTCACACTGTTCATTTTTAAACTATTACTTGTCTTGTTTCATCTTATTTCCAGTCAGAAAGTCATGAGATGAAATAAAATAGGAATGTGTCTTACCTGCAGCACGGCGCTCACCTAGAATCAGACGGTTGGATGTGGGTTTTAAAGTCACCTCTCTGATCCTGTCACTCATTTTATGTTTATCGATGGGACGGAGCGTTCCTAAGTGTGTGCGTGTGTGTGTGTGTGTGTGTGTGTGTGTGTGTGTGTGTGTGTGTGTGTGTGTGTCTGTGTGTGGGTGTGTGTGTGTGTGTGTGTGGGTGTGTGTGTGTGTGTGTGTGTGAGCCAAACAGAGACTGGACAGGGTGAGTTCATCTGATTTGTTGAAAAGACAATAAAGAAGAGAATCATGTTTCAGGAGTAAACCTACTTATAACAATGACTTATAAATAACTCATATAAGTTCTTTTTTCTTACATCGTCAAACTGGTATTTCAATGGTTTAAAACATAAATTATGTGAAGAATGTTGAATATTTACAGAGCCCAAGGCAGCATCTTAAAATTCCTTTCATTGTTTAAACTCAACGTGAAAGTGGGTGACAACTTATCATTTGTCCCCATTATTCACAGCCATATTTTGACTATTCCTTGTTAATTGATTTACAGCCACAGTTCCAGTGTGATCTGAACCTTCAGACATTTATTATCCAGTTTGTGTTTAATGACAGTTCATATAACATCACTAAAAGTGATCAAAGTACTCTTCAGTACTTAACTTTGGCTATTCAGTGATTGATTTGTGCATTTCATGAGATAATCATTATCTCTTTTGGAACACACAGGGTACATGCTAAGAAACAGAGCCTGCAGGAGCCGGAGACAATCTGTTCCCTCTATTTAAACACTGATAACGTCAGCAGGGAGTCTGGGGGCAAATAGGTTGCATAAAGTTATTTGTAATTGTTTTAAATGTATGTGCTTAGCTTATATTGTCCTCAAAGCAGTTGCAGATAAAATCTCCATATCGACTGTTCTGTAACAAATGCAGGACTCGGTCACCGTATTTTAAAGCTTACATCGGCATCTAGAGGCTACTTTCCTCGATTAAAACCCCTAAATATGACAATCTGCCTGTCACACCGCGGTGAACTCTCCTCTCATTTCATTTCACTTACCCTTTCCTGGTGTGTCACCAGTTCCCTGATTCCCGGTTGTGTCCACCTGTTCCCCATCGCCCTCCATGTGTACTAACAGTCTGCGTCTCCCTTTGTCCAGTGCCAGTGTCTTTGTTTCCGTCCTTGTGTCCTTGTGTTCACTTCAGCCTCGCCGTAGTTTCTGAGCCTCTAAAACTACGTCATGGTGTTCTGCTCCGTTGTTTTTCCTCCAAGAGAGTAATTCTGCTTTTGTGAAATCATACATTTAGGTTAATGGTTAATGTTTTCATCGTCCTTTGTTTCCTTGTGTGCGTGTGTCCTGTCCCCCTTCACTCCCACGCTCCTTTAGACTTTCCTGATACAGTCACCTTGTGCTGGTAAAAACACTGCACTATAGTGACAATTTTTTAGCATAAAGATATTTTTGTAACAAAAGCTTTATTTTTTAAACGAGACAGTTGTCTAACCAATCTGAAACTTACTTATAAATAAAACTGGACATTATTCAAAACTGGAAATTCATCTCTCTGCTCACCTTTCTTGAACAAATAAGAACCTTTATTCATTTGTGGTACTCTCTGGGTTATAGTCCCAGAGTGGCGTTGTTTCATTGCAGCCAGGCACATCAGTTGCCCCGGTCACATGGATAATATATAAAGCTCGTATTTATTTCTCTGCCTTGGAGATCCAGTCTTACTAATAAAGACTACAAATCCCTTTAAACCCTGCAACTGTGTCCTATGTTCGGCCGGGTCGCGACTCTGCTAAATCTAGAGAATGTAATGTCATAAATTGAGTGTTGGCGAAAGGCAAAGAGGCAATTAGACAGCTTTGTATATTTGATAAAACATCTCAATAAAATACGTTAAATTCACGTACTCATACAAACTCAGTAATCATGCTTTGTGTTTATATTTCGGTAGTTTTATTATTTGCTTGTTTTATTTGATTGCAGTTGTAACCCCTCCTCAGCTGTTACCCATCTCTCTCACATCGTGATATTTGCATCTAGAGTTTAGCTTTAGTCTGCGTAGCTTCACAGCTCAGGTGAGTCCTGAATAACTCTTGGATCTTCTTCCACAGGTGGACCTCAGCTGCAGCGTGGGACCTGGCCTCGCCCCCCCACAGGACCGGTCCGCCCACAACTGAATGAAAACTGGAGGGGCAGTAGGGTCCGTAAGGCGGCTCTAGATAGTGTCCCGCTCCGGGGTAACACACAATCTCAAAGTTGTCCTTCCCTTGACGCTGGAGTCGCTCCACCATCATGTCCACGTAAGCCTTGCTGTCCCAGTGGAGGTCGTCCTCTGCGGCCACGAAGAGGAGACGTCCCTCCGCCCGCTCCACAGGGATCATGGTGGCCTCGTTCTCCTCTGCCAGAGGGTCGTTCATAACCTTCTTGGTATTGAAGGCCTCTGACTCAGTGGGAATCAGCTTGCTGAGGTCAACCATTAACGGGGGGAGGATCTGGCTCTTCTTATAGTAGAGAGGAAGAAGCGTGTTGGCGGAGCAGCCGTTGATCCACACTACGGCCTCGACACCTTGCAGGTAAGAGGCCATCGACAGTGCCAGATCTCCACTTTTTGAAAGGGATATCACACCAACTCCTTTACTGCCAACCTGTGGTCCAACACACCAACAATTAGCTGCTTGTTATTAAATACTTTTGGCAGTGTTGCAGACAGAAAAACTACAAAACGGTGTCCCAAAAAACAACTGTATTCTCAGAGATTAAGAGTTTACAGTTCAAACAACTTGCCTTATATTGTTTTTTCAAAAAATCCACTGCCTCCTCTAAATAATCCAGATGGACCTCTTTGATGTTTCTCGGCATGTCGCTGTGACCGTACAGCGCTACAGTCAGAACCACAAACCCTCGGCTTGCCAGCAGGGAGGGCCTTTTTTCTGACAAACCTCCACCGGTGGTGTGGAGATCCAACACAGCGGGGAACAGACCTTCTCCTGGATCGAAACACAGAAGGTTAACACTACTATATCACAACTAAATCCTCACATCAAAACATAAACCATTATTTTTAATGTTGGTTATTGAAGGATTTGAATATTTGATTGAGATGAAGAAGAACCTGCGGGGGTAAAGAGGACCCCATGAATATTCCCCTCTCTGACTGTGCGCCGGATGACCCCGTCTCCGATCAGGAGCCTCTCATTGGTCGCTTCTGCCAGCATCCTGCCCCCCTCTTCCTTTTCCTGGTCATGAACTGAGATCTTCACCACGTGGGCGTTTAGAGACTTAGTTCTTTGGAACCTCTTGTGCAAAGCGTCCGGCCTCATGGACCAAAGCAGACCCATGGGTTCAACGCCGGTGTAGGTCCCACCGAGGGAGGGGTCCCTCTCCAGGTCGATCTGCCCGCTCCCATCAGCCCTGAAGGTGGCCGAGGAGCTGAACACCACTCCCTTCTCGTCAGTGGATCTGGCTCTCAGGGTGACCATCTGTCTCGACCTGAGACCGGCCACCTTCACCTGGACGGGCTCGTCGAACATGCATCTGGCTCTCGGCAGCAGACTCAGGCGGACTTGGGACGACATCTTTCTGAAAATCCGGTGGTTTGTTCTTTACAAATCTTCGCTGTAATTGTAAAAGAGGAAATTCACTTGAATTTGAAACACTTTGACGAAGCAGATGAACACATCATGAATGTTTTTCTGTAAAACTTTCTCCTCGCCAATTCAGCACATTAAATAATGTAACCAGCTAACTGTTGCTCTTGGACATATATTTAGAGGTGAAGTACTGTTCCTACGCTGATAGTCAATAGATTGAACACATGGTTGGCTCTTAAGTAATCTTCTATTATGATCAAATCATAATAGGGATTTAAGCAGAAGAGCACACCTAGTGGTATAAAATATAATACATGCGAAAATATTTAGTGATAGAATTGTAGTTTGTAGGTTATTAGAAATGAGTTATAACATTTGCATGTTATATTAATAATTTCAATATGAATCAAACAATTTATAGTCATTTAATTACTGTTCAAATTAACATCCTGTCACAATGTAACATTAAACCTGTTGAAGGACTCTTAATTCTTCCTTCAAGGATCAGGAATCAGGAATCATGTTTTGCCAAAATATGTCAAACATACAAGGAATCTGTCTTGGCGGTTTGTGCGTGACAGTAGACAGTGTAACAATAAGACAGCAGTGCACAAGTAACAAAATGAAGTGAAATGCTAATGCAATGGGTTAGTAGAATAAGGCTATGGGTTAGTATAAAATAAGAGAATAAAGTTAGTTAAAAATGTAAAATGTTAAAGTTAAAAAATATTAAGCATTAAGTGCACTAGCGAACAAGTAACAAAGCGAAATGACGACAAAGTGAAAAATGACAGTTAAAGTGACATGATCAGTATGAAGGGGAGTGACCGGTGGAATGTTATAGTCAGACAGTCTTCTTCTTCACACACAGCGTGGAGAGGACGCTGGCGCTGTTCTGTTCGCCGCTTCTCCGCCCGTCCGTCCGTCTGCTACCGTTTTCCTTGTCTGTTTGTTTGTTTGCGTTTGATGTGACTACCACTGGACAGTCGGGACACCCTCTCTCCTGGTTCCCGAACCCGCCTGGACACCTCGTGCGGACTCTCGCCTCTTCGGCTAGCCGTTAGTTATCACGGAGTTTCCAGTCCCTTCGCTCAGCATCATGATCAAATATTCAACTCTGCAACTGGTCCAACTCGTCAACTACTTCATTTCATCCTGCATCCCAATCATCAGACAACTCGGACTTCTACTTCGACCCCGTTACATCCACAGAAGTTCTCGTCGCAAGTTTGTTTTCTTCCACCACGGACATT